GAGGTGGCGCGTCGGATGGCGGTGGAGGAGGCCATGGCGGTTTATTAGGGTTTTTGATTGAGGGATATTTTAGGGTTTAAGAAGGCAAATGAGGGGTTGGGTTTGGTCCGCCCGTTTGTTGACGGGTCCAGATTGGGTTGGATTCCTGCCCCCCAACCCGCTTTTCTTTTTTTTAAAAATAACCCCTCATTTGGGAGAACGGTGGGAGCTGTACTAAAACCTAGCAACGAAGCCACATAGTGTCCAGTGATGTGATTACCTACTTTATATCTATTTTTAGTTAATATCATTTACGCCTCGTTTGTTACGTGGGAATGGACTCAAATAAGAGTGGAAGAAGAAATGAAATGAAATTAATGTGAAAATGGAATAGTAATTCTCATTCTCACGTTTGGATGTAATTTATAAAATAAAGTGAGAATGAACGTATTTTAAAATTTTATATTTTATTGATTCTCATTTAAGTGGGAATGCACATTCCCTATAATTTCACTGAGAATGCTAGTTTCCACATAAAGTGGAAATTGATGAGAAGTGAGAATGAATATTCCAACTTCAAAAAAAAAAAAAAGTGTGTTTGATAGGAATGAATGAGAAGTGAGAATGATCATTCCATTCCACCTCATTTCCGCCTACCAAACGAGACCTTATATTTATTACTTGGGACACCACTAGTATTAGAGTAGGACATCACTAAAAGGATTAAACTCGTAAAATACTTAATAAGGGTTCTAGATACTACTATGGTAAATAATATAATTACATCATCGGGACAATATCTTACACCACCGTAATGGAACCTCCCAACTGTCGGGATCACTCGCGATAGCAAAACTCACATATTTAAATGATCAAAATTAGCTATTTTTTTTCGAAAGATAAAACGGGGAGTGACATCCCTCTTTTCTCATGAATAGATGAAGGGCAAACGCAGATGAATGAATGAATGAATCGAGCGGGTCCCGCAAAATTTTTAGAAAGATAAAATAGCAAGCAACAACCCTCAACTGAGGGGGCCTTATGTGCTAAAAATAAAACGTTCACGCATTTATTCATATATTTATCTAGTAAAATCACCTCATTAAACACAACGTCAATACATAACCCAGCATTTTTTACTAATACGCTTGAATGCCACATTAAAAACTCGGTACTAATAATAATACTTGGTTCATATCTCTCCATCCCAGAGCTCCTCTTCGCTCTTGTAGACACCATCCGGTTTGACGACGAAGTCGCCTCTCACCAGCCTCGCTTGCTCAATCTCTCCAAACCTAGCAAACAGATCCTCGGGTATCGACCAATCGAATATATCGATGTTCGCCTTTATTCTGTCTTCGTTCGTGCTCTTAGGTAGCACGCTGTGACCCGTCTGTACCCCCCAGCGCAGAGCAACCTGTGCGGGGCTCTTCCCTAGTTTTTCTGCAGCCTCGGTAATAATCGGCTGGGATAGCACGTTGCTGTTCATCCATTTTGTGCCTGGCGAGCCCAAGGGAGAGTAACCCTGCAGCAAAACAAAGGGGGGAGGAATATTTTGCTATAGGTCAGGTGTTTTTGTTTGATGGAAAAATTTTACTGGACAATTAAGAGACCAGCTAGCAATGATTTACTGACTAGAATAACAACCGATATGTGCAAAAAGTTGACCGTAACAGAGACAAGAATGTTATGACTTTTGTGTTGCGCGCAACGGAGATTTCGGCAGCACTTCAACAGCACAACAATAAAGTCAGGTCGTAATAAGAAGAATCAATTAAGGCGGTCGGATATATAAATGGAGACAACTAAATATACAAGGTAGGAGAAGTAATAAAATAATGGTTAATTGGGCAAGGAAAACTAGAGGTAGGTCTAAAAGAGCTTGATTGAAAGCAATATGATATAGCTAACAAATTAAGGAGATGACCACGTTTTTTAAATGTATTTATTTACCTTTTTAACTTTTTTTTTTAAATTTTTTTGTGAGAACAAAGGAGATAACCCTTAATAGAACTGAATGGAAAAAATCAGTTTCATGCAGTCAACCCACGAAATTTTTGGGATAAATATGTTCACCTCCTCCTCCTTGTTGTTGTCAGATGTTATTATTGGGTTGGATTCGTTAACTTACACTGAGATGAATGCCCTTCGACATGCAGAGGGACCTGAGCTGCTTCTGTTGCCAGCAGGGGTGGCATTCGACCTGGTTAACGGCTGGGGGAACACGAGCTACAGCGAGCAGATCCACTAGTTTCTTGCAGGAGAAGTTGCACACACCAATGGCCTTGGCCTTACCAGAATCATACAGCTTCTCCATCGCAGCCCAAGTGCTGGGGATATCTGATGGTATCACATTCTCTCCACTTAGTGTTGTACCTTTCTTGAGTCTGAATGGCCAATGAATCTGTAAAAATTATTTGCAGACCAGTTAAGTTTCAAAATAGCATATATAAGTGAACAATGCCAAACAATCATAATCTAGAAATAAAAGAAAAAAAATCAAACTTCTGAGCTACAAATATTTCGCTCTAGCTTGTCCTATCATGTATGATTTAATGACTGCTAAAGTTAGTGACCACAACCTATCACATTCAGAATGATACAAGTTGTAGAAATAATTGACGCATTGAATTCAAATCATAAAAAATCTTAATAATGATGTAAATGGTATCATATACTACTATTCCAACAAAGAGTTTTAACTACCAAGTGTGGGCTACAACCTATTATACTTCAGAGCCGGTGTTCAGAAAAAAATAACAACTATTTTATAGTCACGCGAGATATCAAACTTGAACCATAACAAATCTAAATCTTGTAAAGAGTACCATATACCAAACTTCCAAGCATTAGAGCAATCTACATGGTAACTGTCAAATGTTGTCCATTATCTATTAACCTCAGAGTTCACATTTGATAAAAACTTGATATATATATATATTTCTCTCAAAAACTTTGACGTATTAAACAGATAAAATCCTGTAAATCGTCCCATACACCAGAATTCAAAGCATCATGTCATCTACATGTTAACAGAGTATCACAACGTCCAAGGTTCTAACAACATACTAAGTCACTGACATCAGCTATCTTCAAACTTGATGCTAGGAGCAATCGTTTTCAGCAAAAAGCACAGAGAAAGTGAGAGGGAGCATACAAGGTAAAGATCAAGATAGTCGAGCTGTAGTCGTTTCAGTGACAAATCCAATGCCACGGGCACATCTTCTGGATCATGATCAGTGCACCTGTATCGATACATAATAGTGGTATACATCATGTCATTTTTTCCTCGTAACCGTCATCGAAAAATTTCCCTAATGAGAAATGATAAATACAAACCAGAGTTTGGAGGTGATGAACAGTTCTTCTCTCTTTACAACACCATCTTCAAATAGCTTCTTAAGAGCTAAACCAATCTGCAATTAACATGCAAAGGATCAAACTGCAGCCTCTCTGCAATTACAGTTGTAAAAAATAATTCCATTTGAAATTACAGTTGTCTTTTTAAAAACTGCAGCTGAAGCTACAATTGCAATTTCTTGCACACCAAATATTCCTTTATTTTCAACTTCACAAGGTGCGCATGAAAAATTATACTCTTAATGGTAACTGTTGGGCGCAGAGTCACGCCCACCGCCGCGGAAGCGATATGTCCTGAGAGAGAGCCCTGGCCTTTGTTGTCACAAAAGCACAAGTCAACCTCGATATCTGTGTTTCGCGAAGGAAACTCAGACTCAGTAGCGAAATATCTCAGCGAAGTGAGATATCCACTCTTCCTCTCATCAGCGCAAGACCGAATTTTGAGGGATCCTACAAGCAATAGCCAACAACCCAGAAAACAGTAAATACACGAGATTTTACGTGGTTCGGCTAACTAGCCTACGTCCACGGGAGGGGGGTTTCACTATGAGGAGAATACCAAACTTTACAAATTCTCTCTCACTCACTCTTTCTTTTCTCTCAAAGAAAACTCACACAACCCTAATTGTTTTTACCACAATTTTCCCACACACATAACTCCTCCACCCCTTCACTATTTATAGGAAAACCAAAGGGGGGAAATCCGAATAAATGGCGGGCTGAGACGGCGGGAATCAGAGCGCGCGCGGAGGGAAAATTTTTCCCCGCGGGAAAAATCCCGCGCCCAGCTTTCGTGCCCGCGCACGAAAGCAGGCGCTCGTGGGCAGACGCCCACGTGAGGTGGGCCCCCGTGATCACAATTCTCCACCTCGTTCATCATTTGATAAACCTCAAATTTTGAACGAACACTAGAAGAACCCCACGAACTCCATCAGAGAGATCCAGGCCACACCAGGCCAAACCAGCTGCGTCACTATACCGCGACTGCCTACGTACCCTCCACCGGGATCAAGCTAACCGTAGTTCTGCAATTATTCTCCAACATAGTCTCCACCTCACCTCCATCATCGCCCCGTAGGGCCATGCCCTCTTGGGCATATCAACACGGACTGATATGAAGCAAGTCCAAGCAATGCTTAAACTTACTACCTGTGACCACCTTGGTTAACATGTCCGCGACGCTTTCCTGCTCAATCCCCAAGTCGTCTAGAAGACCCCACAGCCACAATGCTTCCTTCACTCCCTCCGCCATAGCTATGTACTCAGCCTCTGTTGTAGAAAGTGCCACTGTAGCCTGCAACATCGATCGCCAACTAACTGGAGCTCCATGTATCCTGAATACATACCCAGTAGTAGATCGACGTCTATCTAGATCGCCCGCATAATCTGAGTCTACATACCCGTCGACCTGACATGTATCTCCACCAAAACACAGACCCGTATCCGCGGTACCTTTCAAGTGCAACATCGATCGCCAACTAACTGGAGCTCCATGTATCCTGAATACATAACCAGTAGTAGATCGCCGTTTATCTAGATCACCCGCATAATCAGAGTCAACAAACCCATCAATCTGACATGTATCTCCACCAAAACACAAACCCGTATCCGCGGTACCCTTCAAGTACCTCAGGACCCACTTCACATCTTTCCAGTGCGCCTTTCCCGGATTCGCCATGAACCTGCTGACCACACTAACCGCTTGTGAAATATCAGGGCGTGTACACACCATTACGTACATCAAACTGCCAACTGCACTAGCATAGGGAACACGCTCCATGTGTGCCTTATCTTCCGCTGTAGTGGGAGATTGTTTACCTGAAAGCCTGAAGTGTTG